AAAACCAAAAGAATTTTAAAAAAAAAAAACCTTCCTATGCTCTTTAGAAGCCTCCCCCTCCTTCCGGTCCCCAAAGCAGGGAGCCACAGGGAGCAGCCAGCTATTTGGAGCAGCCTGTCTTGGGATGCTGAAGGGCTGCTGGCAGGAAGCTGCCTAGATAAGCACTTCCCAGCCAGAGCCTGCCTCTTGTACCCAAGGGTATGTCTACACTACCCCCCTAGTTCGAACAAGGGGGGTAATGTAGTCATACGGCGTAGCAAATGAAGCCCGGGATTTGAATTTCCCGGGCTTCATTTGCATAAAGCTGCCCGGCGCCATTTTTAAATGCCGGCTAGGTTGGACCCCGTGCCGTGCGGCTACACGCAGCATGGGGTCCGACCTAGCCGGCATTTAAGAATGGCGCCGGCCGGCTTTATGCAAATGAAGCCCGGGAAATTCAAATCCCGGGCTTCATTTGCAACTCCGTATAACTACATTACCCGCCCTAGTTCGAACTAGGGGGGTAGTGTAGACATACCCCAAGTGTCTCCCTCCTCTCAAACTCCCTTCCTCAGGCACTACTCCCTTCTGCCCCAGGTCATCACCTAAAACCTCTGCACCCTCCCTCTCCCAAATCACAGTTCCCTCCCAGACTCAGAACCTCCTGCAACCCGCCCCCCAGGCCAAAATTCTCTCCTGTATCCCTGCCCTCTCCCAGACCCCGAAACCTCTACTGCACCTCAGTCCCTTACCTCAGCTCCCTTCTGTACACAACCTCTGTCCCAGAACCTATATACCACCCAAAGAAAAGTAAGGGCCTTGACAACTTACCAAAATTTTGGAGTGGGCCCTTATAAAAAATTATTCTCCACCCCAATTTAGGGAGATCCTGTGTGAGGAGAGATCTACAGACAAGTATTTGTTTGTGTCACCTAATATAACTGAGACTATTATATTCATTCTGGGTGCAGTCCAGCACTCCGGGATACTGGAGCTAACCTGGAAAAACTCTGCCGCATCCAGGGAATGCATTTTCTTTTCCACTTTTTTTGCAGAAGAGCAAATGCGCTCTTTCAGGGAGCCCTGTATACCTTGTTCTATGAGGAATTAGGGCTCTGCCAAAAGAGGAGGCTTTTCCTTCATTTGGCCCTAGACAGGGCCAAATGACAGAAAAGCCTCTTCCGGAAAAGAAATCAGAAAAAAACTACGCATTTTGCATAACTTTTTCTGAAAAAAAAACAAAAACAAACAAAAAAAAAACAAAAAACCACACCTAGGCTGCATCTAGACTGACAAGTTTTTCCGCAGAAGCAAGTGCTTTTGTGCAAAAACTTGCCAGCTGTCTACACTGGCCGCTTGACTTTCTGCAAGAAAATTGACGATCTCATGTAAGATTGTCAGTATTCTTGCGGAAAAATTCTATGCTGCTCCCATTCGGGAAAAAGCCCTCTTGTGCAAATGCTTTTGTGGAAGAGGGCTACTGGGCTAGATGGACCTTTGGTCTGACCCAGTATGGCCGTTCTTATGTTCAAAACTATGCTCTCGATTAGATTGAATCACGTGCCACATCCTGCCTCATTTCTTTGTCAACTCTTCTTACAAGCAAGAGACACATTGTTGCATTTTTTAATTAAAATGCGTGCTTTGGACAGGTCTGTACTACAAGAACTGGTCAATCTAAGCCAGGGGTGTCCAAACTTTTTTCAAAGAGGGCCAGATTTTATGAAGTGAACATGCGTGAGGGCCGACCATTTTGCCTGACATTCTTTGAACCATTAAAATTAAATGCAAATTAACTATTTTATGCAAAGTTTATTGCAAACGGCATACTTTTCATTTCGTCACATGGATGACAAATCTAAACAGGTGTTAAATCACTCTGCCTTTCATATCTGAAGGCCAGATGAAAAAAAAATCCAGGAAGCTGAAATATATGTCAGGAACATTGTAAAGTACATTACATATTATTGGTAATAAAGGTTGTCTGTCAACTTTTAAGTTCAAAAAATATGAACAGGAACATAACACCAAGTATACATGTTGTGTCCAAATATATTTATAACTGATTTAGACCAACTGACATTAACTGAGATTTTACAATGTATTCATCTCAATACATATGGATTCGTTGGGGGCCATAAAAGATAGATATTGCCAAATTACCTGGGGGGCCGTATTAAACCGGAACACGGGCCGCAATTGGCCCGCGGGCCGGACTTTGGACATGCCTGGTGTAGACCTAATCTGAGGCATGAAGGCTCAAATAAAACCTATTTTAAAATCAAGTCTTTGCCCCAAATCACTTTTATTCCAGGCAGAGTATTGGGCAGATAGAGGCTATTTGAGATGGGAGGGGGGGAGTGTTTCCATCATGGAATGATGATGAATTGCTTTATGACTATTTACCATACTTTGGGAGATGAAATACATAGCATTAAATTTGTCTTCTCAGTATGGTGATCACACATTCCCAACACCTGCTCACAGTTCTACTGATGAAAGGCACAGTCATGAGTGAGGTTTGATGTATAGAATTTTTTATTCTTAACTGTACAAAGCAAAATATTTCCAAAAGTCACTTGCTATTTACAAATCATCCCCATCCCCTCAAAACAACAAAACTTCCTAATAAAGGCACATGCCTTGCAAGGTCCAGCAGTCACAGGATGGACTGGACACAGAGACAACAGGCAAACTGTAAAATTCTCCAACAACAAAAAAGAAGAGGAATAATGAGTCTAAACACAGCACCATCCTTCTGAGCTTAATAAAGCCATGTTTTGCCCATTGCCTTGTTAGTGCAAAGATTCACTGATGTGATGGATGCTGTGAAAAGAGGTGAGGTGCAGGTAATAAAGACATGTCAGCTCTTTTAGATTTACACAGTGCAAAAATAAATACATACTTACAACTAGCCTAACTTAGTATGGGGTCGGGTGTATTTGTGTTTGGGCACATGCCAAGAGTATTATATTGGCTCATAAACATGTAGTGCTACTCAGTACATGATACAACAAGCATCTGTAACTATTTAATGATTTCTCTTGAATATCATCAGCATATATGAAAAGTTCCTTAGTGTCCTATAAAAGCAAAAGACTAGATTTTCCTAGTTCAGCAAATGCTGGTGTGCACCTCTTCCTATGCACAGCTCAGCAGCAGGGGTCACAGTTCACTTGGTATTCTCTGATGCAAGGGTTCAGGGTCACTAGGAATTCTCTACCACTGCATCCTACCCAGAGTTCTGTGACATCCAATGGCACCTAGCCAGAAGGAAAATTGCAGCATCACTCTTGTCATAGATGCCACCTCAGCCCCCAAATTACATAGGGAAGCACTAAATGTACCTTGCAGAGGAAACTCATATTTGAAAAATAATTGTGCCCTGATCTCTCTGGATTAGCAAAATCCAACAGAGTGAACCACAATTATCCACTGAGAAATTTCATGAGGGTTAAATTTTCATGCATTGAAAAGAAAACAAAGGACTCACCTGACTTCAGTAGAGTAATTATGAGTAATTAGACCATTGCTTCAGGTACAAGAGCACAAAAAGGTGCAAAGACCAGAGAGGGCTACCTCACTGGGCTATTGCTTTTGGCTTTCCAGATTGGGTAGAGAAAGTGTAACTGCACTTTGCATTTTTAGTCAGGTGCAAGTGTTGCATGTTCTGGCAAAAGCTGCAAACAACACTAACAACAGTTCCCAGTACGGACCCATCTCCATTGCTCTTTGGACAGTGCTTCCCCCTATGGCGAGATGTAATTTACTAATGGATCATGGGAAGGTTCTAAATAGATCATGGCGTTCTAAGCAAACATACACTTCTTCTGGCCTGGGGAAGTCACTCCCATCCCATAATGTGGGTCTGGCACCCCTACTGGGCATTGTTACCAGGTGCATGGGGTCATAGCACCTCTCACTCAAATATGGCTGTGTCTCTCTTCCATCATGGCTGGGGGATGACTGGGCCAAACCTGAATTGCAACAGCTGGAGTTGGGAATCAGGCCTAGTCTTGGGAGACAGGAGCCACTGTTGTGGGGGTGAGTGCACAGCAGCCTTTCCAGTTATGGCCTCTCTGCTATATCAGGCAAGGAAGTATCAGGAATGAGGATGAATATATATATATATATGAAGCTTGGGGAGGGGCTATACAAAAGATAAAAATGCAGTTGATGGGTCACCTTAGTAAAAAGTTTGGGAAATTCCTACCTGAGTGGTTAATTTGTTTCTACTAGCTAGTTGGCTTTGTATGAGCAGGACCAGTTCTGATAGGTTGCCAAACTACTACACCTGTGGACCTCACTTAGACAAGAGAGGGCAACATGCTATCAGGCCATTAGTGCATGTCAGAGCAATCTGGGGCAGGAAGAGGGGAGAAAGCTGTGCACCTTGGCCCTTGTGGTGCAAAATGCCAATCAGATAGCCACACACTGAATCAGAGTTATGTGTACATATCAGAATTGTAAAATGTGTGCAAGTAAACAGACATACACATCTCTCCCAACCCACATACCATTATCTGTTTTATTCTCATCACACCTTCTTTCCCTTGTTGCACTCCCAACAAGCTCTCTTTCATAGGCCTCCCCCCCGCCACCCGAAGGCTCTAGACACTGTGCCGACGGACATTGATCATGGTCACGATATGTGACAGGTCCAAGCTCTTCATCATCACCTCCATGAACTCCTCATCTTTCCTGGCTCCTTCTACAAACTCTTCTAGGGAAAGCTCACCTGTTTCAAACAGAGACAGATTACACCAGGGTCACTCTCATTCATGTCTGGGGCAGAGAAAGGTGGGCATAATTGCTTTCTGCACCATGAGCCCTCACTTTTCAGAGTCAATAGTCAGAAGTACCAAACAGCCCACCCATTTGAAGCCACCAGAACTGGCATGTCTGGAGCATCCTTTATCTCCATGCAACTCTGACCTTGGGGCCTGTGCCATGCAGAAAGGAAGCTCTGTTGGGCCAAGACAGAAGGGCCATGGAGAGAATACTCTAAACAGTGAGGCTCTGTCTAGACTGGCCAGTTTTTCCGGAAAATCAGCCGCTTTTCCGGAAAAACTTGCCAGCTGTCTACACTGGCCGCTTGAATTTCCGCAAAAGCACTGACTTCCTACTGTAAGAAATCAGTGCCTTTTGCAGAAATACTATGCTGCTCCCATTCGGGCAAAAGTCCCTTTTGCGCAAAAGGGCCAGTATAGACAGCTGAAATTTGTTTTGCGCAAAAAAGCCCCGATCGTGAAAATGGCAATCGGGGCTTTTTTTGCGCAAAAGCGTGTCTAGATTGGCCACAGACATGCAAATCTAGATGCTCTTTTCCGAAAATGCTTTTAACGGAAAACTTTTCTGTTAAAAACATTTCCAGAAAATCATGCCAGTCTAGACGTAGCCTGACTGACCTGAGTCTCTCCTGGGTAGCCTGAAGTATTACTATGCCTATCTCCCCCACTGCTGGCTCCTGCCCTTTCAAACTAAGAAGCAACAGAAGCAGACAGTGCACAACAGCAGCTTAGAGAGGCTCTATGCAGGCAAGGCAGCTCAGAGCTGCATGGAAATGTTCAGGGAACGGGCCTCTTTTGGAATTCTCAGGGTGACCACTGAGCAGGGCTTATGTTGGAGGAACAGGAGAAAGAGAGGGAAGGCCAGAGGAGAAGAGGCCAAAAACTCTATTTAAGCTAAAGTGACATACCTCTTATTGCTCTATTGCCTGCCCCTGCCCAGCTGTCTTTTTATTATACTGCACTCCAATTCCCTCAGTCCCCATTTAGCTGGGACCCTGGTTTCTCCGCTTTTTCTTTTGGAAAATGTTTGGCACCAACTCGACACCCTACATAAATATGGAGGGAAAAAATTATTGGATTTTTGCCAATATCTCCCTCTCCTGTTTCAAAAGGCTAGATCCTGTGCAATGCTGGAGACAGAGAGATTGCTGGGGCTGCTGGACTCCAGAAACACAGGAACTGAAAGATCAGATCAGACTCACGGTTTATCTATTCTAGTGTCTTTCTCCAACAGATGCTTATGGGAAAGAGGCAGGAAACCTCACATTAGGGACAAAGGACTGGAAGGGACTTCCTGGGTCATCAGATCTGTTCTCTATAATTCCAGGAAATTCTGTCATATAATCTTAAGAATGTTTCAAGATCTACCTAGTTCCAAGCTAGTTCGTTTGCATTCACTACTCCTATTGGAAGACTGAGAACCTCATTCTGCTGATAGTCTGAAACCTTCTAATTTCCATCCTACGTTTATTAAATGTCCACTTAATACCCATATGTTCTTGTACCAACATTGCTTAAACATAGTTCATCTCCCTGTTTTGTGTTTCTCCCCTGATGTATTTATGAAGGCCAAACAGATCCACTTTCTGCCTTGATTTTGTTAGGGTGCACAAGCCAAGCTCTTTTAGTCTCATGACATGAAATGGATTCTCCTTTCCCCAGACATTCAAGTAGACCTTTTCTGAACCTGAAAACCTTCAAGACTATAGTTCCCAGTAAGGTGTGCACCTGTGCGGCCGTGCACAAAAGGTGCTTCTCCAGCTCACCTCTTCTGGAGAGCCATGCAGCTGCACTCATGTGGAGGTGACAGGGCTGGCTGAGACAGCATGGTGTTTTATTAATTTTGTTGCCACATACTGGAGCCTGTGAGAATGACCCCAACCCTAACTCTGTCACTCTCACAGGCTTCGAGAAGGAGGATTTTGGTAAGCTCAGAGAGCTGATAGGTAAGGTCCCATGGGAATCAAGACTGGGGAAAAACAACTGATGAGAGTTGGCAGTTTTTCAAAGAGACATTGTTAAGGGCCCAAAAGCAAGCTATTCCGCTGTGTCGGAAAGATAGAAAATATGGCAAAAGACCGCCGTGGCTTAACCACGAGATCTTGCATGATCTAAAAATAAAAAAGGAGTCATATAAAAAATGGAAAGTAGGACAAATTACAAAGGATGAATATAGGCAAACAACACAGTAATGCAGGGGCAAGATTAGAAAGGCAAAGGCACAAAATGAGCTCAAACTAGCTACGGGAATAAAGGGAAACAAGAAGACTTTTTATAAATACATAAGAAGCAAGAAGACGACCAAGGACAGGGTAGGCCCACTGGTCAGTGAGGAGGGAGAAACAGTAACAGGAAACTTGGAAATGGCAGAGATGCTTAATGACTTCTTTGTTTCGGTCTTCACCAAGATGTCTGAAGGAATGCCTAACATAGTGAATGCTAGTGGGAAGGGGGGAGGTCTAGAAGATAAAATAAAAAAAATAACAAGTTAAAAATCACCTAGAAAAGTTAGATGCCTGCAAGTCACCAGGGCTTGATGAAATGCATCCTAGAATACTCAAGGAGCTGATAGAGGAGGTATCTGAGCCTCTATCTATCATCTTTGGAAAATCATGGGAGACAGGAGAGATTCCAGAGGACTGGAAAAGGGCAAATATAGTGCCCATCTATAAAAGGAAAATAAGAACAACCCAGGAAACTACAGACCAGTTAGTTTAACTTCTGTGCCAGGGAAGATAATGGAGCAATTAATTAAGGAAATCATCTGTAAACACTTGGAAAGTGGCAAGATGACATGGAACAGCAAGCATAGATCTGTAAAGAACAAATCATGTCAAGCCAATCTGATAGCTTTCTTTAACAGGATAACGAGTTTTGTGGATAAGGGAGAAGCAGTGGATGTGGTATACTTAGACTTTAGTAAGGCATTTGATACAGTCTCACATGATATTCTTATAAATTAACTAGGGAAATACAACTTAGATGGGGCTACTATAAGGTGGGTGCATAACTGGCTGGATAACTGTACTCAGAGAGTAGTTATTAATGGTTCATAATCCTGCTGGAAAGGCATAACAAGTGGGGTTCCGCAGGGGTTTGTTTTGGGACCGGCTCTGTTCAATATCTTCATCAACAATTTAGATATTGGCATAGAAAGTACGCTAATTAAGTATGCAGATGATACCAAGCTGGGAGGGGTTGCGACTGCTCTAGGGGATAGGGTCGTAATTCAAAATGATCTGGACAAATTGGAGAAATGGTCTGAGGTAAACAGGATTAAGTTTAATAAAGACAAATGCAAAGTGCTCCACTTAGGAAGGAATAATCAGTTTCACACATACAGAATGGGAAGCGACTGTCTGGGAAGGAGTACGGCAGAAAGGGATCTAGGGGTTATAGTGGACCACAAGCTGAATATGAGTCAGCAGTGTGATGCTGCTGCAAAAAAATCAAACATGATTCTGGGATGCATGAACAGGTGTGTTGTGAGCAAGAAACGAGAAGTCATTCTTCTGCTCTACTCTGTGCTGGTTAGGCCTCAGTTGGAGTATTGTGTCCAGTTCTGGGCACCGCATTTCAAGAAAGATGTGGAGAAATTGGAGAGGGTCCAGAGGAGAGCAACAAGAATGATTAAAGGTCTAGAGAATATGACCTATGAAGGAAGGCTGAAAGAATTGGGTTTGTTTAGTTTAGAAAAGAGAAGACTGAGGGGACACATGATATCCGTTTTCAGGTATCTAAAAGGGTGTCATAAGTAGGAGGGAGAAAATGTGTTCATCTTGGCCTCTGAGGATAGAACAAGAAGCAATGGGCTTAAACTGCAGCAAGGGAGGTTTAGGTTGGACATTAGGAAAAAGTTCCTAACTGTCAGGGTAGTTAAACACTGGAATAAATTACTCAGGGGGATTGTGGAATCCCCATCTCTGGAGCTATTTAATAGTAGGTTAGATATATGTCTACCAGGGATGATCTAGACAGTATTTGGTCCTGCCATGGGGGCAGGGGACTGGACTCGATGACCTCTCGAGGTCCCTTCCAGTCCTAGTATTCTATGATTCTATGATTCCCTTTCATTTGTGTCCAGCTCAAAAAGTTGTCCATGAGCTCACTGCTCCATGCTCTCTGATCTCAAACTTTTCCCATCTCATTGATCTCCCCCATCTTCACAAACCCCCCAAACCGTCCCCACTCACTCTGGTAAATACTCAGGTAATTATAAGCCTTTCAGTTTGACAAGGATCCTAGCTAAGATAATGGAGTGGCTGATATAGGACTTGATAACTAAACACTCAAAGGAGGATAATACAATCATTGTCAATCTATAGAATATTCAGAAAGGAAAGGATTAAATGAGGGAAGCTTAGAGGAAAGGGCATACAGGGAAAAATGTGTGAGATCTTATCAAAGTATAAAGTTAGTTTGAAGGCTATTGAAGGAGACTGTTTCTGAGTGTATTAATGGCAAGCTAAAGTGTAAGAGGCCACAGGATGAGCTAAGTCAGAGGGCAAAGACAGGAATCTCACCATCGCCATTGACATCAATCTTATTGAAGACTCGGTTGGTGAACTCCTCTGCACTAGTTTCATGGTCACAGCCATTAATAGCACGAATAGCCTGGAAGAGAAGAGCAGGAACTGAGCAGCTGGCCCAGGGTTAATCTGCCATGGGACCATCGGCGAGATTGACCAATCACGCCCTTCATAATGCAGGCTCAGAATATAAAACACACACAAATAGTGTCACTAAGAGCAAAGGTGTTTCACCACTCCCACCCACTGCTTCCACAGGAAAAGCCTGGGTTGCCCCCCACCCAACAGTATGCCTTGAAGATTGGTGGATGCAATAGGCAACTAAATGCTCTCTCTGAGCATGTCCTCCAATTCCATTCATGCAAGAAAGCAGAGTACTAGCTCAAGCAACTACTAACAACTGCCCATGAATCAGACAATGATAGAGGCAAGAAGACAGAACCCAAATCACTTAGAGCTTTAAAGATTAAAATTCACCCCAGCTGTGTCTAGACTGCATCCCTTTTACGGAAAAGACACAGCCCCCCTGAACTTGGAAATCAGTTTGTTCCAAGAACAAGTCATGGAAGCATGGGGAGGGTGTCACATGCTCTTCAGTGCTAAAATCTTGCTGGATCAACACAGCACTCTGTTCAGCACTAGTTTCAATTGCTTGTTCACTTTAAAGTGCAGCCTCATAGAGTGCTTTGCAGTAATCCAAATACAAGGCAACAAAGGCTTGGATAAGCATAGGGAGGCCATTTACCCCCACCCCCAAAGGTTGCAAACCTTATGTCAAGTGCTATTGATGAAAAGCACTTCTACAAACAGAAACTATCAGGTTGGCTTTGAGCAGGTTTCATACAGAAATGGCCAGCACGCTGGTTCTAAGGATTTTAATGTTACCATTTTGTGTTGACTGACTTTTTAGTAAGCTTTTTCTTTTTCTAAAGTTTGTTTTTTCTAAAAGCTTGTCTTTTTCTCAAGTTAAGTGTCACCTTGTTGTGGCTTTTGTACCCTTCCTACCCCAAGATTGTTGCATTAATTTATTCTGTGATCCCTCTTATCAAATGACCTCATTACTGGTGTATTTTAGACCTGCTATGCTACTTAGAACTAAGTCAATAGTTAGCCTAACTAAATTCAGATGGCCCCAAAGGACTCCCAATGGAAGGGTGAGCTAGAGTAGGGGCATGAATTCAGGATATTTGTTGTTTTCTATGGGTCTTTACTTCCTATGCCTTTCTCAGGTACTAAAGACAAAGCAACGATGTTTTAGAAACTTGTGCAAATAAAGTCTCTCTGTGACATATGCTATGCCTACCATATGCCCCTTGAGGAGGTAAAATAAACCAGGGTCCCAGAACACGTACAGCATCTGGAGTGCAGGGAGAGATTGTGTTTGAACAATGAGGAAGTCTGAAGGTGTCAGTCTTGGTAAGAGGGGCTAGGAAGTTGGGTGGCAAGGTCTCTACCACCTGGAGAGGGTGCCTGATAAGGAAACTGCATCCTGAAAGTGTGTCTAGAATCCTAAGGCAGGGGCAGTGCCTGGACTCAGTTCAGACTCTGGCAGCTTAAACAGATGATATTCAATTGCTGGAGCAAATCACAGGAGTTTGGTGTGTGACCAAGAGGGTATGTTCTACTGGACTGGTCAGAGGGAAAGCTGCCAGAACTGAGAACTGTGGCACATCAGGTGCTTCTCTGGACTCTCCACTGCTTCACCAGTGCAATGAGATTCAGTGTGGGCATCCCATTGTTTTACAAAATAATGAGAGCCAAAGTGTACACAAAATCCTGAGTTATCACCTTAATGATGTTGAGCAGTTCATGTCGGTCAATGCAACCATTGCCATCCACATCATATAGCTTGAAGTACCAACGTAATTTCTGTTCCATCTTTCCCCGAAGAACTAAGCTGAGTGCAGCCACATATTCCATGAAATCGATGTATCCATCCTGTGGGGGAAAAAAAGGGAACAGGAGAGCTTGGGTTCACAGGACTATGTGCTGAGAGAGTCCTGCCTCTATAGCTAATACTTCTGCAAGGTGAGGACTGGAAAAGTTGTAGCTATGAGTCTGAGCACCAGAAGCTTAGCATTAGCTGAAAATGGCTGGCTTCAGTCTAAACTGTGAAAAGGAAACAGGCAGCAGCATGCATACAATAGTTATGGGTCATCTTCAGAGTCTTCTACAAAATGGTTCTGGAACACTTGAGAAAACAGATTCCAGAAAATTATCTCTTACATGTTTATAATAATTCCGTGGTCATTGCTTTCCAGATGTGGAGCCCTGGCAGCACATGTATATGAATATGTCCTTCTCCCCACAAGCCATAACTGATTTGGGGGCAGGAGAGCCAGCCCCAGAAAACTGGCTGGCTAGAGGACTGGGATGACATCTTGCCTCTGAATCCCTGCTGTCAGCTCTCATTGTAGGAGCTCAGCTGTTTCAAGTGGTTATGTCCATGCCAGTTGCTAGCATAGGGGCTGAGCTGAAGAGCACAGCCACAGGGTTTAGTCACATAAGAACGACCATACTGGGTCAGACCAAACAGTCTATCTAGCCCAGTATCCTGACTGTTGACAGTGGCCAATACTAGATGTCCCGGAGGGAGGAAACACAACGGGTGTGTCTAGACTGGCAAGATTTTGCACAAAAGCAGGCACTTTTGCACAAAAACTTGCCAGCTGTCTACACTGGCCGCTTGAATTTGCACAAGAGACGTTCTAATGTAAGAATTCAGTGCTTCTTGCGCAAATACTTTGACGCTCCCACTCAGGAATAAGCCCTCTTGCGCAAGAATACTTGTGCAAGAGGGCCAGTGTAGACAGGCACCTTAATTTTTTGCGCAAGAAATCCCGATGGCTAAAATGGCCATTGGTGCTTTCTTGCGCAAAAGCGCATCTATACTGGGCATGGATGCTTTTGCGCAAAAGCACTTTTTGCGCAAAAGCATCCATGCCAATCTAGATGCTCTTTTGCGGAAATACTTTTAACAGAAAAACTGTTCCATTACAAGTATTTGCGCTAAATCTTGCCAGTCTAGACGTAGCCAACAGGTAATCCTCGTGTGATACCTCTATCATCCATTTCCAGACAAACAGAGGCTAGGGGCAACATTCCTACCCATTTATAGATTCATGGAGGTTAGGTCCATCTAGCTCTTTTTTGAACCCTGTAAAAGTCCTAGCCTTCACCACATCCTCTGGCAAGGAGTTCCAGAGGCTGACTGTGTGCTGAGTGAAGATAAACTTCCTTTTGTTTATTTTAAACCTGCTGCGTATTAATTTTATTTCGTGACCCCTAGTTCTTTTATTGTGGGAATAAGTAAATAACTTTTCCTTATTCACTTTTCCCACACCAGTCATGATTTTAGGCAACAGCGCACTTTGCTACTGCTACTGCTGGGAGGAGGAAGAGATCCAAATTTATCATGAATCTGTGGTTAGGGTATCAGCCTAGAGAGCAGAATAGGGACTATTCACAGGAAAGCTGAGAGGATAGCCCATATGCAGCAGAAGAGCCCTAACCATCATGGCATCCATGAATATAGATACCGACTGGAACTCACCTCTCTAAGCTTGCACTAGGAGGGGCAAAAGGAACCCTAAAATTGGTATTAATAAACTTGGGCCAGGCACTGATAAGGATTCCTAATCATGGCATAGGATATTTGGTCGTTTGTACTATTACTAAAATGTGGGGAGGCCTGTGTGACTTCTCTTAGGGATCCCTGAATGGTCCTTTATACTAACAAGTTTGGCTCTACGCAGCAGGTTTTAATAACTGAGTGCAGCAGTTATTTCTGGGTTTACTTTCTGCCTCAGAGAGGACAGAGACAGTGGTCACGGGAACACATAGGGATTCACCTGTGCTGAGATCAGACTGAGGATATGGATGCCATATATTCTAATGTATTAGGGAACTTCACAGATTTTAAGGCCAGAAGGGACCCTTATGATCAAGTCTGACCTAGATAATACAGGCCACAGTGGTTACCAACTGGTTCTTGCATCAAATCCCTAATGTCTGGTTGCAAGAGGTATGTGTACCCCGGGGGTACTTAAAGATCTTCCATGAACACAACAACTCATCTAGAGATTTGCCTAGTTTTACAACTGGCTACACAAAGAGCACTAGTGAAGTCAGTGCAAACTAAAATTTCATACAGGCAGTGACTTGTTTATACTGCTCTATGTAATTGCAATATTTATATTCCAATTGATTTATTTTCATATGTGGTAAAATGAGAAAGTAAGCAATTTTTCAGTAATAGTGTGCTGTGACACTTTTGTATTTTATGTTTGATTTTGTATGTAAGTAGTTTTTAAGTGAAGTGAAACTTTGAGGTATGGGGGACAAATCAGATTCCTTAAAGGGTTATAGTTGTCTGAAAAGGTTAAGAACTATTGTGATAAAGCATAACTTTTAGAAATATACCTAATATGGTCATAATGATAGAGAATACAACACATCCCTACATAAATTGTTCAACAAGTTAATTAACACCTTCACAGATATGATTCACCTTCTCCTGCTGGCCACCATGAGATTGCTGTGAGAAACCCAAGTCAGTACGTCTCTAGAGAGTTTTAAGTAGTTGGGGCCTAAACAGAGTCCACCCACTGCTCCTCTACTTTGAGGTCCCTAGATATAGTCTTTGGATGCAGACCCTCTGTTTTGAACCCCTGGCTGAGAAGCTGTAAACTGAGTATTTTAGTGATCTTTCTATAGCTTATCAATTCTGATTCATATTATGGAATTGCTCTTATGAAAATTACTGTATGACATATGCTCCCCTGTATGTCTTTTCATTACTCCATTTATTCAGAGTCTGCTAATGCACATCTACCATAGGATCTCCACGTGTTCCAGTCATGCAGTAAACAAAGTTACCACATGTGATAGGACAAGAAGCAATGTGCTTAAATTCCAAGGGTGGTTTAGTTTAGACCAGGGGGCGGCAACCTTTTCAAACCAAAGAGCCAAACTACATAAAAATTAAAAACAAGTTGCCAACAAAAAGCTGTATAAGAATGCCCATTTTCATAACTGAAAATATATAACATAATAGTACTAATAATTGACATAATGATTAATAATAGCATAAATTAAACGTACTCACAGACTTTATTTAATGGGACTTTTGTTGCTACATCTTTTCACACTTTTTTTAAGTTTACATAATAACTGGTCTACTTCAACTTCATTCATGCAATCAGGCTGTCTTCTGTCAATCTTATGGCAGGAGGGTGGTGATGTGGGGGTGCTGGAGACTGGGTTGGGGTGTACAAGGGGCTCAGGGTAGGAGATTGGGTGTCTGATGGACTCAAGGCACAAGGTTGGGGTGTATGGAGGTGGCAGGGAACTGGGGATACGAGGGGCTCAGGGCAGGGGGTTCAGGTGTATGATGGGCTCATGGTTGGTGTGTGCGGGGGTGCAGGAGTGTTATGATGCAGTAGATAGATGGGAGCTGGACCCTAATTGAGGGCTTGTTGGCCAGGCTTCATTTTAAAATAAAGTATCATGTCCAGCACAAAAGGCTTCAATATTATCTTGGTTTATGTCAGGAGTGGGGAACCTTTTTTGGTTTGGGGGCCATTGATCCACAGAAAAATCAGTCGGGGACCACACAAGTGAGAAGCAAAAAAAAGCCCCAAACCCTCCAACCCTCACTGTCACCCCTAACTGAAACATCTCACTCCCCTGATGTTCTAGCCCCATAGTGTGTGTGTGGGGGGAGGGGGTGGACAAGCCCTTAGGCCAGATTTACTCTTCTAGGATTCAGCAATTAGTGGATTTTCTGGGCCCCAGTAGGCTCTGGGATGGAGCCAAAAATGAGGGGTTAAGTGTGCAAGACAGGGATACCAGTGAATGGGATAGGGATGGGAGTGCAGGATCTGGGTGGGAGGAGGTGGGGTGTATGAAGGGGTGAGGGTGTGAGGTCTGGCCTGGGGGCAGGCTGCCTGGCCAGGAAATGAAGGGGAAAGGGGGGAAGGGAAGGGGTTGTCTGGCCAGGGGGCATTTTGGCTAAGGAGCAGAGGGCAGGGGGTGTCTGGCCAGAAGGCTTGGGCAGGGGGCTGTCTGGCCAAGGGGGTGAGGGGATATGTACTTGTTTGTGCTCCATGTGGCAGGCACTTTGTAACATGCCTCCTGCCACTCCCATTCCCCAGAAGCCTCCAGGGAAGTGTTTCCCAGAGAGATGAAAAAGGGTGCTATGCATGGAACAATTTTTGCTGCTTGTTTCCTGCATGCAGAGGGAAAGAAAAGAGCTGTGCACCAAGACATTTTTTGCTCTGCTTGTTCCCTGTTTGCCAGATCCAGTGTGGAGCCTCGGGGCTTTCTCCCCCTCAGGAAGCCAGCATTGATGCTCCAGTCTTGTGGGGAGCCAGCATGGGCCCCTTGCTGCAGGGGAAGCAAAGGGGGCTGAGTTGAGGCTCCAGAAGAGCCATATCTGGCTCCCTAGAGAGCCATATTTGCCTCGCAAGCCGTAAGTTGCTGACCCCTGGATTAGACATTAGAAAAAACTTCCTGTCAGAGCGATGAAACACTGGAATAAATGTCCTAGGGAGGCTGTGGAATCTCCATCACTAGAGATATTTAAGAGCAGGTTGGACCGACATCTATCAGGGATGATCTAGATGGTACTTGATCCTGCAGTGAGGGCAGGGGACTGGACTTGATGACCTCTCAAGGTCATTTCCACTTCTAGGATTCTATATCCTGTATATTTGTTCTCTCATCCTCTTAAAATCAGAGGGTTAGAAGAGACCTTCCCCACTGTAACTTGAGACCATTGCTCCTTGTTCTGCCATCCATCACTACTGAGAACAGACTTTCTCCATCCTCTTTGGAACCTCCCTTCAGAAAGTTGAAGGCTGCTATCAAATCCCCCCTCACTCTTCTCTTCTGCAGACTAAACAAACCCAAATCCCTCAGCCTCTCCTCATAGTGCT